CAGCAGCAGCAGCACGACCCTGCCACTCCCAGTCACCATCCCCTGTGGCCCGGGAACGGCTCCGCAGCACCGGGCACGGGCAAGCACCACTACCGTCATTCCCTCTAAAGAGATCGTGGGCCTGAGGCCTGGACAGGCCAGGACGCGGGTTCGTGTGAAAGCCAAAACTCAAACTCAGGGCGAGTCTTCATGCCAGGCTCTCCGCAGTGTTTGGAGGCTGGTAACCTCCACACCCGAGGCGCCCACACCTCCAGTCCAGAGGGCAATGCTGCTCACCAGCCTGCAGCAGGTGTCACCCTCTTGCTAGGCAATGACTCTTCCGCCACGAGAGGCAGGTGACAATTACCTATGATGTTGTGCCGACAATGGGGGCAGGTGTGGTGCTGCAGCAGCCACGGGTCCACGCACTTCCTGTGAAAGCGGTGAGTACAGGGGATAACCCGCAGCTCCTGGGGAGGGAGGGAGACACACAGTCTGAAGGCAGGGGCTTCTTCCTGTGGAGCCCAGTGGGCGCCAAGGAGCCCCGCCCCCCGTGCCAGTACCCCAGGCTCCCTCCCAGCCCGCTCCATCTCTAGTACAGGTGGGCCCCATTCCCTGGAGTCAGAGCCCACACAGGGGATCTAGGGAGAGGGGAACAGGCCATCAGCTAGCCCCGTCCCCACGAGCCCAGCCTCTGCCGTTACCTCTCCGTCGATGTACTTCTCAAGGCAGATGGCACAGTCGGACGTGGAGCTGCTGCTGAGTGTGTCCAGGGCTCCACAGCTCCCCTCCCGGCGCCCCTTGTTCTTGGAGTTGAACTTCCTGGTCTCCATCTTCTCCAGCGCCTGCACAGCCAGCCTGTTCATGGAATTCTGCATGGCAGAGTGTGGCCCGTGTTAGGGTCTGGCACGTATGAACAGTGGGAGGCACCCTCAGGGCCTCGGCGCTCGATCAGCCAGGATAGGGTAATGCTAGTCTCGATCAGGCCAGAGCAGACATTTGGGACATCACTGAAAATCCAGATTGCCACAGCCCAGATGTGCCAGGCTCCTGAGTGCCCATGACAGCAACCCAGGCCTCCCCCAGGGGAAGGACCGGCAGAGGTCTACTTCAAGGGCTTGGCCAACTCTGCAAGACCCTGCTCTGTGCCAGGGTTCCTCCCCTTTACCCTGGAGAAAGTTCTGAGGGCAAATGAGACAGTGTGCGTGAGGGCTCAGCCCTTGGTAAATCAGATGTGCTGGGCAAACACCAGCCACTGTTCTACTGAGAACTCGGCGATGCTCCTCTCAACAGACTGC